TAACCCTAAAATAAATAACCTGGTCACTTGGTGTGGTGAAACATAAAAATTATACATCAAATTTACTATCCATCATAATAATTTCGGTTTTTTTTTTTCAAGGAATTCTTATAATTACCAACATTTCATTTTGTGTAGTTTTCCTTCGCGTATAATATAATCCATGCATTAGCACGGGTATGCACATTGACGGGTTTTTCTAAAAATATGTTCAATAACTTCCTTATTGTTTTTGATGTAGCTGTTTGCAAAAGAACAAAGTAACTCCAATAATGGAATAACACTTAAAACACTAACGAGACTATCTCAATAACACTAAATGGATAACCCCTATAAAACTAATAAAATAACTCTTATAATAACTGGGCACACGGTGTAGCCAACCATATATAAGAATTAATTACCATATGTAGGCGTCGCTCGAAGTGCGCCTACGTTAAAGCATGTGTGAATATGCTTGACACTCTTAGGAAGTAGGAATTGACATAATACGATTAGGGACAAATAAAGTAGGGAGCTGCCAACAAGTTTTTAAGGAACTTGTAAACCGTTCACGGATCATAAAAAGGAAACCACGATAAGGGACAACGATAGGCAAAATGATTGACCCGTGAAGGTTACACCCCATTCATAATCCATGAGATTACTAACTCCATATGGTTCGGAACCACGAAAGGAGGACCGGGGATGATGGTACGAAGTAAATCATGGAGTCATATTCGCCCGTATTGGCTTCTACTCGATTCTTATAGTGAAAAGTGATTCCTGCGATCTCAAAGGCATATATACAAACAAAATATTCAATTTGCTCCAAAATATTATTATGCTAAATTGGTTGAATATTAATGCAACATATAATTCTAAAATATTAGTGATCACTTGATTAAACAATAAGATTAAAAAAGAACCTAAACCGGTTGTCCAAATTATCTTATTAGGCGTGATTTTCAATTACATATTCCCTTTAAACATACAATATGGTGATCATAAAAATAATAGAACAAATATTAATATTGGAAGCAATTCAACAATAATTCCAACAATATAAAGTCGTTAGAAAAATAATAGAAATAAAAGGAACATAATTTTTACTTTGATTCTGTTTGTTTGCAACTACAAAATAATAAACGAGTTAGTAACTTCAAGGAAATAATAATAAAAAAATAATTAAATTAAATTAAATAGAATTGATTTGGGGCCAAACCCTCAAACAGTTCTACCTTTCACGCCTTGTCTTAAGGACAGAACCACGAGTAAAGTATGGACTCGTGGGAGTGCTTGAAGAAGGAATTTTGAAAGAAGAAGGGTAGACTAGTGTTTAGGCTAGAGCATAGAAGAGAGAAAAATAGAGAATTAATTGATGCCCCGTACACCAGAAATGAGGGGGTATTTATAGAAAAAATGTGCTGAGGGAACACACGGAACCCTAAAATGATAAAAAAAACCTAAAAAGTATCCCGCGACACGACAAAGTGTACCGTGACACAGGAAATTCCACCGTCAGACGGGAAACATTCCCGTGACACGGTGTACTTTTGTGTGACGCGAGAAATATTTCCTGAACGGGAGAGAAAACGCGTTAAGGGTTTACGCGGAAAGGACACGGAAATTCCCGTATCACAGCAGGTGTCCCGTGTCACGGGAAATCCCACCGTCAGACGGGACAGTTTCCCGTGACACGGTGGACTATTGTCGTGACGCGGGAATTTTTTGACCGTTTTTTCCGTCTAAATTCATTTTAACCCTAATTTTGTTCAGCATTTTAAGTGCCAATTGATAATTTTGGGCCATTTCTGATTTATTATTATTTTGGCTAAAAAAAGAAAATAAGTAAATCAAATATATAAAAGGTTTGGGCCAAAATAAATAATAAAACAATAAAATAAAAAAGATTTGGGCTGAAATTAAAAAAAAAAATATATGCTTTGACCAAACATCAAGACTGATCCATGAACTATTAAAAAAAATGAATTTATTTAAACACAGTTTTTTAAGCACTCTCGGGATTAAATACTGAACCCGGCCAATAGTGGCGGTGAAAGGTTATTCATCATCGGGTTTGGTTTTGGGGAGACATTTTTAGGTGTCTACACCATATAAAATTTGAATTTTCGTATTTGAAATATAGTTTTTGTTATTAGATTTTTTATAATATCATTCTGTAAAATATATATTCCGTGCATTGCCGAATAAATGGCTCAATTTAATTTGTTTAATGAAAATTAATGTTATGAACACTAAACTTCGTTGAATTTGAGTGAAAAATAAAATAAAAAACACTGGAATTTCCTTTAAAAGCAGCAATTTGGGTGATTTTTGCCTGTTTAGAGTGAATTGGGGGATTTTAGGAGAGAGAACGTCAAAGAAAGTGTGGGTTATGTTCGAGGAGAGAGAAATTTTGGGATATATGTATGTAGATGGTTACCTTTTGTATTTAATATAATGCTATTAATTACGCTCCTTTAATCTGGATCATCTATTTCAATCTAATCCTACGGATTAGATTGGTTCTTATATACACTTAGGTTCTTATGTAGGGAGGGGTTCTTATCGGATCCCTCCCCTATATATATATGTGTGTGTGTGTGTGTGTGTGTGTGTGTGTGTGTGTGTGAGAGAGAGAGAACCAAGGTGAATAATAGGAACTAAGAACCAATCTCAGCCATTGATCGCACTCAATCTGATGGCTCACGTTTCACCCGCATTCATTAATGGCATTTTCGTAATTATGCGTTTTTTGCAACTTTTTTCCAGTTTTTAAACTTTTAAGGCAATTTCATTTACTTTATGACTGATTTCATTTACTTTTACTAACTTTTTATTTACTTTATAGAAATGAAACGGGAAGCATGTGAGCCGTCGGATTAACATGATCTAAGGGCCTAGATTAGGTCCTAGTTCTTATTTTAGCCTTGGTTCTCATTATAACTGGTTCTATATATATATATATATATATATATATATATATATATTTTTTTTTTATTTTTTTTTTATATATATATATATATATATATATATATATATAATTTAAGAGTAAGTTAATGAGGTTTCTCCTAAACCTCAATTCTCATGCACTTCATAAGATAAAAAAAAATTAGTTTAGAATTCTATTTGGATAGTATTTTAGGATAAAATTGTTAGTTTAGAATTTTATTTTCGATAAAAAACTAATATTTCAGATGTACAAATTGAATTATAATTTTATTCAAAAAAATTATTAGATTATAATTTTTAAAATTTATCATATAAATTTATTTTTTATATCATAATTTTTTTTTGAGCGAATGAAGTAGTTCAAAGCATAAAACATCCATTTATAATATATACTAATCGGTTAAAATAATATACTTCACAATCTAATAGAATTTTATTACTATATAGACCTGTCAATTAGGGTCGGTTTATGAGTCAACTCGGATTTAGTCACTTTAGGTTATGAGTGAAGAAATGTTAAACCCTTACCCAAAGTTTTGGGTTCAGGTCAATCCAACTGGTTTTGTACATTTATTTTATTTAATTTATTTTTCGCTAATTTTTTATATTTTTAATGCATTAAATCAAACATTTTGGAAAGAAAGTCAATTTTCTTGCCCCTGATTATAAAAATTGTCTATTTTTCTAAGACCCAGGCCACCTGCTTTTTCACGCTTTCTTGCTCAAACAAAAATTTCTCTATTAAAAGTTTTCCATAAAGAGTACATGAATAGTCCATAAGTCAAAGCGTTACGGATACAGAAGACATACTTTCTTAACATTTGTATAAGTTTCAAATGTTAAAATCAAAGGAGGTAGCACAATTCACTTGACACGTTATTTTAATTCATCCAATAAAAAAATCATAAATAGCAATAAATTTGTAAAGCAATTGAAGAAAGACAGAGAAAATACCTGGATAAGAAGGTTGAGGCCAAGAAGGAGGCTGAAATGGAGGAGAATTAGGGTTTTCCAAATTACGAAGCCAAATAACATCATCAACTTTCTTACTAATTTTGGGAACATGTAAATGCTCATTTTCCTAGAACTCTCATAAATTATCATATAAATTTATTTTTTGTATCGTAATATTTTTTTGGAGTGAAGGAATTAGTTCAAAATGTACCGCATCCGTTGTTTATAATATATTCTAATCGATTAAAATAATATACTTCACAATCTAATATAATTTTATTACTGTGTGTAAACCTGTAGAGGTCAAGTCACCAGTCATTTCAGGCAGAGTCATTATTTCAGGTTAAGGGTCAAGAAATATTTTTCACCAATATTATTACTACCTCCGGTCCAAATTACTCACAACTTTGGGGGTATTATTTTTGAGATATAAAATACTCCAAAGTTGCGAGTAATTTGGACCGGAGGTAGTATTATTAGTCATTACATGTCTACAAGTTTAAATCGTCACAAAAACACATCAATTCCTAACTAATTTTGTATCAATGATATGTTTTAAAATTTGACATACAGATTAAAAATATATTTTAAAATTCAATAAACAACCCAGACATCGCACGGGCACAAAACTAGTATATATAAAGAGAGAGAATGTATGACAATTGAGAGTTCAGGGTTTGGAGTGTTGTGAGGAAGTGTTGCAAAAATGTCTCTTAAATTTTATATTATGTAAGGTTCACTTTTCTTAAATATCGTGATAAAGCATGTGTTGCAACTATAAAAAAATGAACGAAGTAGTTTTTATAATTTTTAGTACTCCCTCCGTCCCCGATTGATAGTCACTTTTGAAGAAAAATCGTGGGAATTTTGAATAATTAAAGAAAGTAAATTGATAAAGTAAATTTACATTGGGAATACAAAAAAGTAGAGAGAGAATATAATTAAAGTACATAGGAAAGTAAAATTTACATTGAAAAATTAAATTTGCACAAATATTTTTGCAAATGTTAGAGAATTTTGGTAAAAAAAATAATATTAATGGTACTTGAAAAAAACAAATGTGACTAATATTTTGGGTGCCCAAAATGGCATAAGTAACTATCAATCGGGGATGGAGGGAGTATAAGATTTGATTCTTAATTATATGATAGATGATTGATTATTTATTGATTCAATAATCATGAATTGATTTTTCAAAAAAAAAAAAAATAATCATGAATTGAAATACACATTTATGAACCCATCCTTATTCCTTTCAAAAAAAATTACACATTTATGACAACAAGCACACGTAAAATTCAACATTCCGCGTAAAATTTTTTCACATCCCAAAATAACAATGCTTTGCTGTTAATCAAAAATCTCCACAAATCACACATTACAATCCCAAAAAAACTACCCCAAAAACAAATTCCCCTAGATCTCATCATCCAATTGCACCCCAAATCTCTACCAAGATTTTTCAATAACCCCAAAAACTCAAGAATCATTCTCGAAATTCCTTCCAATATCTCCTCAAATTCCCACAAACAAATCAAAATCAAAAACCATTTCTGTGATCATCTTCTTGAGATATCCAAAAATGGCGGTCCTAGGAAAAAGAAGAGGCGACATTGAAGCAGGGCAACTCTACCCAAACATGGTGGAAGACGTACAATTCCGATGGGCTTTCATCCGAAAAGTGTACGTAATCATCGCCATGCAAATGATTCTCACCGCCGCTGTTGCCGCCGTCGTCGTCTTTGTTCCACCAATTCCGCGCTATTTGGTGTCTACTCGTGCTGGTCTCGGCATTTACATTGTCATCCTCATTTCTCCTCTTATAAGTATGATTTGATTTTCATTTTGATTTCTATTTTTGTTTTGATTTTTGGAATTTTTTTGGGTTGTTTAATTTATTGTTATTTTGTTTGATTTTATGAATTTTTGTTGTATTGATGTTTGTATATTTGTGGGTTTTGCAGTCATGTGTCCTTTGTACGCTTATATGAAGCGTCATCCTATTAATTTCATCCTTCTTGGATTGTTTACCGTTGCAATTGCTTTTGGTGTTGGAATGAGTTGCGCTTTTGTTAAAGGTAACATTACATTATTATAAGCTAATCATTAAAAATTTTGTTATGTTCTTATTTTTTTTGATAAAATTTGGATGATTCTTTTTGTGATACCCCATACTTAATAAGCTTAATTAACATAAGATCAACGTTTTTATATTTCGTGTCCCGTTGTATGTTGCAAACTAGTAAAGGCCGGGTGTTTGGTGTGGCGAATGTGACACGGCAAATGTTGCAACTTATGTGTACATATCTAGGAATTGTTAGTGAAGCTCTTAAATGTCAAAAAATTGTATTGCTTTGGGATGGAAGGAATCATTTTATAGGTTTATTCATATTTGGGCAACAAAGTATTATGTCATTGATTTGGTAGTTCATCATCTTTTTTCGTTGATGGTTCTCTTTGTGAATTGAGGTGATACCCCATTCTTTGTACGCTTAATTTACATAAACTGTTTTGATTGTTTGTACCCGATTGTATGTTTGAATCTTGTATAAGATAAGAAATGTTGCAACTATACATAATTACAAGTCGAGAATTCATGAATGAAGCTCTTGAATGTGCAAATATTGTATTGCTGTCGGATGGAAGGATTCATTTTATAGGTTTATTCATTAATAAGATATATGGGCTACAAAGTATTGTGTCATTGATTGCTGCATTCTTCTAACATCATTTTTATCCAACGGATTTAATAAACCATAGCTCATATAAGTATGTCTAATTTCTATTGTGTCATTAATACCTTTTGGATAGCCGAAATATTGGTGATTCATCATGTTGTTCTATGTACTTGATTAAAACAAATCAAGAAGAGGAAGTGGCATCCCAGTTGTGATTTACTTGTTACACGTTTTCAACAGCATTTAATACAGGGGAAGTTTCTGATGTACTAAAATCGTATTTATGAATTGCTATATCTATTTCACCTCTTCGTTTTTATGGACACCCATCTATAGATGTCATATTCAGTATTGGTTTCTACAATCTACCGTTGTGCATGGTTAAGGTGTTAGGGGCCATTCGTGTATTTGGTCATTTCCTCATTAAAACTGGTTCAGACCAAATACTTTCTTTGATCAATGACGAAAAGACCTGGATTATAATTCACTCAGGTGGCAAATTTTTTGAGTATGCTTTAATCTTATTATTCTTATTTCAACAGGGAAAATTGTTCTAGAGGCTTTGATTCTAACATGCGTAGTGGTAGTCAGCCTTACCCTATACACATTCTGGGCAGCGAAAAGGGGCAAAGACTTCAGCTTTCTAGGCCCTTTCCTGTTTGCTGGCATGATGGTGCTGATGGTTTTTATGCTAATCCAGGTATGCAGGATATATGAATATTGATCTTTTCTTGAAACTCTGTTTTAAAATCAACAAAGTCTCACTTTAGCATCCCTTTTCTGTACAGATTTTCATTCCCCTGGGAAAGCTCTCTCTGATGATCTATGGGTGCATATCTGCGATCTTGTTCTCTGCATACATTGTATACGACACAGACAACTTGATCAAACGTTACAGCTACGATGAGTACATTCCTGCTGCAGTTACCCTTTATCTTGACATCGTCAATCTCTTCCTTGCCCTGCTGGCTCTTCTTGAGGGAGCAGACAGCTAGGCTATCACATTCCTTATTACACTTGCGGGTTGTAATTTGCAACTCATTAGATTTATCAGACCGTTCCTAGTGAAGGTTACTCTTCAGAGTCTTCACTAATAGAATCTATGAAGTACATATTTGGAACTATGACTAGTGTTAATCTGCCACTTACTGATCGATCAACGAATCAGTGTAAAAACAGATCTTGGACATTTTTAGGTCCAGAGCTTTAGAATTGCTATCTTTGTAGATTCTTACGACATTGCTTTTTGTATAGAGTACTACGTTTCAACTTTGTTTCATGCGTCTTTTGCTTCTAGTCAACAAAGTTTGAAATGGATATGCCTTGATTCTGTAGAAAATGTTGATAGTTGCCATCTCTAAAACCTTGCTTCTAGTCAACTAAGCTTGGTTGAAGATAGGTTTTACAGAATGAATAATGGATTGCTCTGATTTAGATGTACAGAGTCATTTAATTAACAAAATCTATATTCGATTTGCTCATTTCGGGTTTGAAATCTTGTTTGATTTAACCTTGACAAAAAGTTTATTAGACGAATGCAATAGAATGATGAATTGGTGATGATGCATCAATAGATCATTCTATTTTGAACATGAAGCTTCTATTGAGTGACTTGCTGAAAGCAAATGCTTGCGTTAGTCAATGAGCTATACAGGCTACTTTCCTGAATACTTTATTTATAGGCCTTCTGTAACTGGACTTTGTTAGTCGAAGGATATGCACCTTACCTTCAGTATATTCCAACATCTCAATTTTCAGGATAACGTTTGAAATCAGGGTTCGAAATGACGAGATTTGTGCTTGTTATAGCTGTTCTTATTGCTTCATACTTCAAAATGGGACCTAGACAACTTCTATTGAGTTTGTTAGTTTAGAGGATACGAAAATAATCAAGGGTCATCTATCTATCTATCTATATATTATACTAAAAGACAAGCGCCTCAATGTGAGGATGACAAATGTCATTCTCTCATTGGCTTATCTTAAACATAAAATATATATATATATATATATATATATATATATATATATATATATATATATATATATATATATATATATATATATATATATATATATATATATAATTACTGTTTACATGTTCAAGCATAGTTATTTTTATTAAACTTCAAACAATAAAAGCAAGTTTCTATACATGTATAAGATTTTCATAATTTCCTAACATAAATATTGATTTAATTTTTTTTATAATAAATATATACTTTCCAATACTACAAATAATCCATAAAGTCTTTCCAATCTTTATTTATAGTCAAGTTAAAGAATAATAACTAATTTGAAGCAATATGATTAAAGTGGCATAATTAAGGAACCAAATATTTCGTATTTTGAAAGACTGATATTGTTTTTTTTTTTTTTTTATGAAAATTAAATTTATAGTCAAGTTAAAGAATAATAACTAATTTGAAGCAATATGATTAAAGTGGCATAATTAAGGAAACAAATATTTCGTATTTTGAAAGGCTAATATTTTTTTTTATGAAAATTAAATAAAATCGATAGAACTTAGTTTGACGTCAATTATGAAATCAATACAAACATTAAAAAAAATCAGATGTACAATAAAATATTGTGCACCTATTATAAAAACTACCCTGTAATGAATAAAAGTTACTTATGTTTTATTGATAAAAGTTACCCAAAATAGTCTACAAGTTATCCTAAATTGAATTCAAGTAATCGGTTGAATACAAAAGTTTTTGATAAAGATACAAAATAGTGTAAAAATTACTTTTATCGTTTGTTGTACACCTTGACAAATACTGAATGTTGAGCCGAAATGTTGTCTTGGAATAAAATACATAATCTTGAACAAAAATTTATTTTAATCGGCCTTTCATTTTCTATACAATGTCTTTTACAATGACCTTTTGTTTTTCTTGCATTAAAAAAAAAAAAAAAAAAAAAAAAAAAAAAAAAACTGAACCAATAACCAATCTAAACAAGAAGAATAAAAGTTAAATTGAATTAGACATTTGACGGAAAAAGGATAGATATAAAATATATTATAACTATTACTCGTGTTTTAAATTGTAATATTCGTATTAACAATGCTATTACTTATGAATTTTTTTTAGAAAAACTAACATTTTGATTTAAAAATAGTGCATTGCTCATGTACTATACCAGATATACAACAATCATGTACAATAATTTATGTTATTTTATACATAATAATACTTTTAACTATAATAGTATGTGTATATAATATAATATTTTTTATAATATAAAAAAGTAATACTTTATAACACGTGTCCTCCATACCAAGTGTTTGTTTGTTGGTGTAGTGGTGATTGTGACTACACTTGGTAGGGAGGACCTGTGTTTGCTTCCCTGCAACAACAATTGGAAGGGGATTGGAACCTAATAGCCTAGAACAGATCCTCAAATCTGGATTAGCCTTAAGGGTGAAGCGGATAGAACACCCAAAACTCAATGCATATATGACGTGAATTAACTTATCCAAAATCTATCTTATACAAAACTCCAAAGTCTAATTTTTTTTTTCAAAATATAATAATAATTTTTGTAAATTTTTGTTAATATGAAAGATATAAACCTATCAAAATGTATCTATAGTTAAATTGTTTAATAACTTATATCGAATGCGTAGTTTTATTAAAATTATTTGCATGTAATCATTAAATGTGTTGGATGTTGTGTAGCTATGCAATGTCCAAAACTTTAGTTGAGTGACTTTGATTTAGTGATTGTACGGTAAAAAGATATTGACTTCGATCTTGAAACCTAATAGTCTAATAAATTCTAAATAGAAAAATTAAAACAAAAGGAAATGAAAATAGTAAATGGCTATAAATATTGAAATAAACATAACCTTTTAAATCAATTTAGCGAATTCAAGAGACAATTTTAAGGCTTTTAAAATTAAATGGGGGAAAATATATGTAAAAAGAACATTTTTAGATATATAAATGTCCATGCACTATTATAGGAGTTTTGTTAACCATTTTATAATTAAGGTAGGGATAAATCTTAGTAATATATACTTTGTATATTTTATTTCTATAAAATTATCAGTATCCATACCTATATACAAAGTATTTGTGTTGTATACTATATTTAATCAGCTGTTGGTTATGTATATGACTATTATATAATATATAGTTTTTGGCACAATGCTTAACTTAGGAAAATATATGTTCTGGTAGGTCAAATATAAGGTTATTATTGTGTCTATAGATTGAATGAGTGCGACGGGTAAATAAAACATGTATATATTAGATTGATTGTAGTTACTGATGCGAATGGTATGATAAGAAATTTTAGTTTTTTCTTAACGGGAGATATAAATAAATTAGTCCACTTCTTATATAGCTATGTGGAGTATTATTCAATTATTTTTCAATTAATAAAATAACATTATAAAAAATTAAAAGAAATTCAAATAACATAAAATACTATTCAAATAACGTTCCTTTAACTTTTTTTTATTGACAATTAGTAACCAAGTTCTTTAATAGTAAATGAATTACCTTTGTTTTTATTTTTATTTTTCCTACGGGTTTAATAATTTGATTTATAAATCGTGCATCGCACGGGCACTATGCTAGTTTATTAATACTTATTGTTATAAGCAATATGGATTAAAGAAAGTCCTTAGTCAATGGGCTGAAGACAAGCTTGGACCGAGAGATCATTTCCAGCATAACAAAGCAATAGTTAATAGCTGGACTCGAGACCAGCTACTTATTTATGAACCCTCTACAAAACGATGTGTTTCATTGCTTAGACATGAGGGATGTGCGTGACATGACGTCAGTAGAGAGACGTCCTGTCAAATCAGGTATAAATACCTGTTTTAAAGGGGGAACTCAACTTTCATTTTAGGAAGCTGCCATACAATTTTCTCTCTCTAACCGCAACTTTCTCTCTCTAGTTCCTCAGAAACCTCCATAAACATTCTCGGAAAGCTTAGTAATCACAAGTTTCATGCATAATCATGAATATTAGAGAAGAAATTGGTGGTGCTAATGCAGTTTTTGGAATTCAACGTAAAAAATCAAGGTGATTTTCAATTTTTTGCAAATTTGAGCAACAAATTTCACTCTAAAACTGTAAAATAATGTGCAATTGCACTCTAGAGTTTTTTAATTCACCATTTTCTCTCTCTAATTATCAATTTCACTTAATAGTTCAATTTTAGTTGATTAATTTAGATTTTCTTTTTGTACATTTTAAATTTGGTTGGTTTATTTACATTTTTGTACATTTTGTCTTCAATGCTTCAATCAAAGACAAAAAAATGACGAGATTCAAAGGCCGTAAGTTATTTCTTACCTGATTTTATGTTTGGTTAGAGAGAAAAAAGCAAATTCACAGATCAATTGAACAAACAAGTTATATAATGTCATTTTGATATTAAAGAAGATTCAATTTAGTATAAGAAAAAATCAGAAAAAAAAATAAAAAATTTGATGTTCATTCTCATAGTTAATGGTGTTCTTTTTGGCTTGATGTTCATTCTCATAGTTTACGATGCTTTTTTGGTTTAATGTTCATTCTCATAGTTGATGATATTCTTTTTGGTTTGAAATATTCATTCTCATAGTTGATGATGTTCTTTTTGTTTTGTGTTCATTCTCACAGTTTATGATATTCTTTTTGGTTTGAGATAAAAGCATGCTCAATTACTTTTAGTATAGCTTGTTGATATGATGTTCAAAATAAAATGTTCATTTTCTGATAGTACATTATTTGGTGTTGAATGATGTTCAATTACTTTTAGTACCTTGTTCATATGATGTTTAAAATAAAATAGTTAATGTTCATTTTTTTTATGGAATATTTTTTGGTATTGAATGATGTGCTCAATTACTTTTAATACCTAGTTGATACGATGTTCAAAATAAAAATACTTGATATGATGCTCAATTACTTATACTACCTTGTTTGGTGTTGAATGGCACCGTTTTGGAAATGTAAGAGGAGGTGTTTGTCCTTGGAGTTGGTGGAGGGGCACCATGCGTGAATAGGTCGCAATAAATCTGGTTGGAAAATGTTAAGAAAAAACAATGTCAAACTAAATATTTTCACAAACTTTTATATGTGGCTGGCCACACGGTGTGGCCAACCATAATTTTTTTTAAAAAAAAAATAATTCAAAATCACGTTATCTTTCCTCTTTTCAGCTATTCTTCAATTCATCTTCTTCAATTAATCCCCAATTTCTAGATTTTCTCCTTTTTAGGGTTCCATCTTCTCCAATCTCAATCAAATTTCATGAAGGTCGAGCAGAGTGACATCGGAAGCATGGTGGCGGCGGAGAATGTCGTCAGATTTTCCAATGTCTGTGATTTTATCGCTCTTGAAGACAACGACATTTTCGAAAAGCGAAGCTCGGAATCCATGGTTA